TACTGCTCCTGCTCCTGCTCCTGCTCCTGCTCCTGCTACTGCTCCTGCTCCTGCTCCTGCTGCTGCTGCTGCTGCTTGCTGCTGCTGGCTGCCGCTGCTGCTGCTGCTGCTGCTGCTGCTGCCGCCTGCTGCTAGTACCAGTACCAGTACCAGTACCACTACCACTACCACTACCACTACCACTACCACTACTACTACGATTACTACTACTACTACTACTACCACCACTACTACTACTACTACTACTACTACTACTACTACTCCTGCTGCTGCTGCTGCTGCTACTACTACTAATGCTGCTACTACTACTACTACTACTACGACGACGACGACGACGACTACTACGACTCCGGCTACGACGATGGCTATGACGACGACGACGAAGACCGCGACGACCTACTACGACCAAGACTACGACGACTACTACCACTATACTACTACTAGGGCGGACGACGACCGCTACAAAAACGAGATCGGCAACTTTTGTAGAAATAAAACATATCGTTAATTGTATTAAAAGAAGCCACCACCACGACCACCACCAACGCCATCAGTACCACGACCAAAGAGCAACATTAGTCATGTTTTCAGAAGGAAAGTACGATCAGAGTGTCATAGCACATTGAGACAGCCTCTCGCCTGGCAGGGGTGGAGGGGCTTCCAGATGTGGACGGGGCCGTGAACGTCTTGCGTGTGGATGCCAAGGCCTGTTTAGGGTACTATCGTGGCCTGTCGCTGCTTTATTGGGTTTCGAAAGTGTTTATGTTCTATATGATTTGGGGTTTCCGAGGTTGTTGCATTGGGTTGTGGGTTTAGGGTGTACGGCTGTTGTTTCTCCCGTAGGTTTGTGTTTTAATTGTCGATTGGATTCCCGGCCTTCGCTGAAAGATGCATCGGCTGAGAGTTGGCACTACGGTTTCGAATTTGAGGTGAAAGGACCCAGAGGATTTCGGATTTGGAGTTTATCGTGGAGGCGTTCCGCTGGAAGATTGCTCTGTTCATACTGGTTCAGGAGTATTCTACCGCTACAACCCAAGCCCCAAGGTGGCAATCACCCAACCTCGTTACTCCTTTCGTATGAACCCTGCGCCTAATCCGCGTAGCGTCGCAATCCTCATGCGAACCTCCCACTGACAGTGACAAAAGCCGCAAACCACACCAACAACCCACCCACATCCTGAGTCCCTTCATCTCAGCGGCATGGTGAAATCTAAGCGAGCAAAACATTAAACCCCCCCTGAAACTTCAAGCCCTAGACCGTTTGAATGCCTCTAGATGGAAAAAACTTAAACTCTAAAGTCTGAAGCCCCAAACTGAATATAGAACCCGCATGAGAATCGTCTCGAACCCTATACGCAGAACCCTGACCCTGATACACCCTAACAAACTCGAATTCCCAAACTCCAAAACAGTCTCAGCCCTAAGCCCTACAAATACCCTAAGCCAAGGGCTCTCAAAATGGCCCAACAACCTCAGAGAGTATGGGCTTCGGGCCTAACGGCCTTATCATTAGAGCCGGAGGGTATCAACCCGAAACCCAGACCCTAAACCTGAAACCCTAAACCCTTAAACCCTAAACCCAAAGCCCCTTAACCCTGAGCCCTAAACCCTAAACCCTAAACCCTAAACCCTAAACCCTAAACCCTAAACCCTAAGCTCCGGAACAAAATCCGAAGAGCCCCGGATCATCCGAGAGGTTCCCCTCGACTTCAAGGCCCTGAACAAGCACTACGAGCGTTCCGCGCCCAAGCCGAGGGGTTTCGGGATTTCGGGGGGCTCTGGGGATTTAGAGTTGCGGGCTTTGGGGCTTCCAGGGGTTTAGGGGTGTGGAGATTGGGGTTTGCGGTTTGGGGTTTCGGGTTTAGGAGCAGCGGGTTTTGAGATTCATGTCTAGGTTTCTAAGATGGTTTGGGGGTTTCGAGTTAAAGGCTTAGGGTCGGCTTTCGAAGCATTGGGCTTCAGGGGCTTGAGGTTTAGGATTTCAGGTTTAGGGTGCGGGGTTTGGCAGTTACCTTTACAAGTTTGGCTCCGAGCAGTTTAGATTCGTATAGCTTTGTTTAAGTCTCGGGTTTGTTGCTAGGGTACGGCGGGCCCTTAACCCCAAGCCTGAAGCCTTTTAGCTACTTGCTTGTAAAGCACCATTGGTTTAGGGTTTAGGGTTCAGGGGTTTAGGGAGACATTTATAGGTAGAGGTACCTCTGTCTTGACAGCCATGTCATGGCATCAAAATTTCCGGCGGCAGCCATGTTTCTGCACCATGATCGAGAGCACACACGAATATTGCAATGCTGGCGTTTTACATAAGTCTGGGGTATAGGGTACATGCTTGCGGAATAATTACAAAGGACAAACCACGCGTTGTCAAGCGTTTAATAATCCAGAAAGTTTGCCAAGCTGGCATCCTGTGTGTGTTTGGAGGATCAACATGTCCCGCAAACCCTGCCAAGCCGAAATCAGTAGCCCGGCCGGAAGCCGATAGGTGGATCACACCGATGACAAGTACAGTTACAGCCCAAGTACTCGTCGTGGGCGGACAGCTTCCGATGTATGGCTTGCTAAAACGTTGTCCGAGGTTGGTATGTTCTAGACTCTGTGTGATGAGGCAAGCCCACACCCCCAACCCTTAAGGTGAAAGCCGGAGTCCTACCTACCTGGGTGCCCTAAGTAGGGTTGAAGGGCTTGACACGACGCCATGGACAATCATGGCGAATGCTAGCTGCTTTTCCTCGGGATGCCCCTGCGCTGCATGAGTGGAGCCTTTTTTTTGGGTTCAGGGACCCTAATATAGTACCCTAAATAGTAGGATCCTTATTATAAGGACCCCTAAATAAGGGGGTTCGGGGTTTTAGATTTAGGATTGGAGGGTTTAGCGGGGTCAGGGCTTCGAGAGTTTTGCAGATCCAGCTCATCATCGTCTTGTTTGTATAGAATCTGGTCCTAAGATCATGGCCACAGACTGTTCCCCTTCTGTGAATGCTCGATGCCAAGCTATAGTCCTCAAGCATGAGGGACGGCATGCGATGTAGGCTCCGACGCCTAAACTTGTTGTAGGAGTCACGGCAGCCCCGGACGACCAAACAGGCTGTTATCCATTTGGGAATGGTCCCCCGTTCAGGGACGTCAAGACCTTTTTGTCTGGAGAGATGGGGAGCCCCGGTTTTATAAACACTCCTGTCCTGTTCGGGATTCCACCTAGGAACCACTGAATATTGAGTGCTTGAGTGGGGCAAGTGATTAGGTTTGGATTTTCACAGATTTGCCTAAACCCAAACCGTGTTGGGGTGCTTCTTTGCTCAGCTGTGGCTTCCTTTTTTGGGGGGAGGATCCCTATCCCTGCCTAATTACCTGAAGCCCGAATACCCTACCTGTCGTTCCTTGTTATGATGTCGTTGTATAAGTCCTGAAAAAGACAGGTTCTTGAGGGAGGTTCTAGGCTGTCCAGGTAGAGCCTCACATGTAGCACCAGTTGGAACACCCTTGTTTGATGTACTGCCCAAACCAGAAACTTGCCATAACCATGATGGGTCATTCGAAGGGCGAACATAACACCCCAAACAGGCAACACTGATCGATCAACCCAGACAAAACTCCCTATTATCTGTTTTCAAATGCTTGCAGCCGTCAGAAAACCATTTAAAAATCACTGCACCTAAACCCTACAAGTAGTAGCTGGGCACTTGAATCCTCGCGCGCGCGCCCGCGACCTAACTCCTAGGTTTTACCCTGAAGCCCGAGCCTAGAGTTTCTGGGAAGTAATGCTTGGCCCCATGGGTACACGATGTTGTGTTGACTTTCATTTTGTGGGCGTCTTCTTTCGGTGGGCCCGAGGCCATCGAGCAAGACCTACTACGACCTTCTGGGGGCGACTTGGGCAACTTAGAGGTTAGGTTTTGGGCTTTGAAGGCTGAGGGTTCCGGGTTTAGGGCTCTACTATTTGTTGGGGGAAGGGAGGGGGTCCTTATTATAATTATAGTATAATATGGGAGTTTCCGAAAATAGGGGACCCTAATATAGTACCCTAAATAGTAGGATCCTTATTGTAAGGTCCCCAAAATAGGGCACCCCTTATTTTCGAAAACTCCCATATACCCCCAAGGCCCCTACATTATGTAAGGAAGGACCCATGGCACAGGTCAAGGCTTTACTGCAGGTGGGCACCCGGGATTTCGACTTCTTCTCTGTAGAGCCCACGGAAAACCTGCAGGCTAGAAGTGAGAGCCGGTTTACGGTTTAGGGTTTCGGGTTTAGGGTTTAGGTTTGTACCTGGGTGCAGCCACATGATTAGTTGTCAGTAGATTTCCATCATCCAAACCTAATCCTTTTCACCAGACCGCAAATTATGATACGTTCGTTTGGATGGCCTAATTGAGTGGCTAGGCCTCAAATGCGATATGGCGGCAACCAACAAGGGGCTCATGTGAGGGTCTGGGTAGTCCGAAACTGAAAGGCCCAAGGAATAAACTGAGTGCCCAGGTGGACCGCGATGCTTCTGAAGCAGAGATCCACCGTGCCTACAAGAGCTTCACCATCAAGATTTGAGTTTTGGGGTGCAGGGCCCGATCCACTCTGAACCCATAAACCCTAAACCCTACACCCTGTGTCTACATTTCGGGGCATCGGTCAGACCCATGGCGGGTTCTTTGAGCAGCCCGATGGTGGCGAGCCCAATTCCTTGTTGCTTCGCACCCCTATGCACCCCAAGCTCCTCTCACCGCACCGAAGGCTCCTGCGCGGCCCTAACCCAAAGCCCCAAGCCCGAACCCTGAACCCAAAACTTCCCTAAACCCTATAAACCCTACTGTATAGCCCTATATAAGCACTATGTAAGCCCTATAAAAGATAAAGCCCGAAACCCAAAAAGAAATAGACGCAGACTCGACCCTGTCACGTCCAGGAAGTCTCTGGGGTGTTACGGTTCTTGGGTTTTCCGGGGGGTTTATAGCGATGTGGGGGTTTAGGGTGTTACGATTCTTGGGCTTAGGGTTTGGGGATTTGGGGTTTAGGGTTCTTGGGTTAAGGGTTCAGGTTTTGGGGTGTAGGGTTTTAGGGTTTTGGATTGTGGGTCCAGGCTCAAGCCGTCATCCCTTAAGACATCGAACCCACTTCTTTATCCTTCAAAACCCCGAATGCAAACCTTTGTAATTATCCAAATCTCTATCCCAGAAGATCCCCCAACCATCTTAAGCCACGCAGAGAGAAAGCCTAGCCAATTCAGAAAGAAGCTCTCCGACACTTTAAAGCACCTAAACCCTAAACGCTAAACCCTAAACCCCGAACCCAGGAAGAAAGCTCTCCAACACCATCCGGATAAGAATCCAGGTGGCCACGGAGGGTGTCGGGCAATCTAGAGACAGAGATGGATCTTCTTGAGAGAGTTCAGAGAGTTTAGGGTTTAGGGTTTAGGGGTTTAGGGTTTAGGGTATGTAAGGGTTTAGGGTCTATGGTTTGGGGGTCAGCACCTTACTGAGGCACCATATGGGTATACATTCCACAACCCCCTATACCCAGACCCCCAAAAGGATCTAAAAAATAGATCCCCTAATTGGGGACCCTAACTACTAAAGGGTACTTTATGCGAACTCCCTTAGGGGATTTTTTTTTTAGATCCTTTTGGGGGTTTGGGTACATAATGATTTGTCCGTGGTCGCTCCATCCCGGGAGCGATGTGAGGGTTTTGGGTTTAGGGTTTAGGGTTTAGGGCTTAGGGAGGGTTTAGGGAGGGTTTAGGGTTTAGGGTTTAGGGTTTAGGTATGGGTGCATCACGCATGGTTGCTTGCCTGACTCGGTGTTTCACTGAGGCAGGTGTAAAAATCATTACGATATTTGGTATAAATGAAACTAGTATTGTGAGTGCCCTTACAGTGCTGTATACTGCTGTCAGTCTTCATTATTCCTGTTCGTGTGCATGTTGGGATGATGGCACACCGCTGCCGTAGCACTTCGTGATGTTGTCGTCGCTGTTGTCGGCGGTGTCGGTGGTGGCGGCTCATATTTCAGAAAAGGCCGCTACAACTTCCCAGAGGGCCCACTACCGGTACTTCCGGATAGTTACGGAATATTCCCGCAATCTCAACAGTCTCTAGCTGTTACAGCGCCGGACAAACTCACCAAGATCAGGCCTCAGGGTTCCTCAGTACTTCGTATCTGCTCTAATGCAACCCCCATTAATTTCCTTTCTACTACAATAAACCTCCCCTTGCTTGTTTCTCTACTATAATATACCCCCTCCATTAGTTTAAGAAAGAGACTATTGTAATTATGAAGGCTCTTTGAGTACTTCACCTAGACGCACCGTCTTGCCGCTGTAGAGGCTTGATACCTCTGTTTCAGGGCACAAGGTGGGTGTAAGTCAGACCAAACGACCCTGAAATGCTACAAGTCGGACCGAGCCGATGCCGTTATAGACTATGAATCCCCGCATGCCATTTGAGCCTTAAGACCTTTCAGGGCACATGTCGTCCTTAAGGATGCGGTCGAATTCGGACACCGCAGGTCGTGTGGAGGAGGCGACAGAGCTCTTCAAGGTTCGGAGATGAGGGTCGTTGCTCTAGACTCCTACACCTTCTAAACTCTTAAACATAACCCCACTACTCAGAAAATCATACTACATTCGTCTTCTTTTGTAGTTTGATGTGCAAACGGGCTGGTGTGGGCAAGGGGCGAGGATGTCGCTTTGGCATCTCCGAGCTGTGGAATCCGCTTAGAGCTCGAAAGCACGCCTAAACCCTAAACCCTCAGCCCTTCTTGAGGCCATCGGATCAGCCTACAACTGCCTTCGCGATCCTCAGAAGAGGGCCATCTACGACCACGAGATTGAGACCACGGGATGGAGACTCTTGTCTGGAAGTGTTTTCTTGGTTCTCCAATACCAAACCTTATTTTTTTGGGTTTCTTAGTTTAGTAGTAATCTGTAGGTCTTTGGGCTCAACTATAGACTTCTTTTTGAAAAGGGTTTAGGGGTTTAGGGGTTACGTAAGGGGTTCTTTAAAGCGTTCTGTAAACGGTTCTTTCATCATAGGGACCCTTATAGGGGGATAAGGGGGAGGGGGGTAATGGGGGGCCATGCCTATTTAGGAAGTATAGTCCCCTAGCCCTCTCCTGCCTACCCCCCCATGGGTCCATTTAAGGGATTCACAACACGACTAAACTGGAAGCCAACAATGAAACCAAACACAACATAAACCACTTCCCTAAATCCCCAAATGGCCCTAAACCCTAAACCCCTGACCCCAAACCCCAAAACGGGCAAATAATCCAAACACCATGAAACCACGCTCCTCTGCCGCCGCAATCGGAGGCGCAAGTTTCGGCACGGAGCAGGCGAGTGATGGCTTCACCTTTCACATGGCCAAGGCTCCCTTATGGGTTTTGGGTTTGGGATTTATTTCAGAAGCCCAAAAGTTGGAAACCCAATAGCCTGAATCCTTAAGAGCAAAGTATAAGGAATCCCAGCACTATTTGTCCTTAATCCGGTTTCCAACTTTTTGGAGTTTACTTTAGACAAAGAAAAATGATAAGATGTGATACTGATATTTAGCAAGTATAGCAGTGAGAAACAATTAGCAGATCGAATAAAGAGATAATCGTAAGACAGCGTAATAGGATGTATCAAGATAGCCTAAGCATACAACTAGCTTAATTCTGGTCTGGGCGGTTGCTTTTCGGCTAACATGTCCAAGATGGGAACTGAGTTTTGCAGTCGGTATCTAGTTAAGTAGGTCCCCAATACCCTGTAGAACCCTGTAAAATCCTATGAAGCATTTTATTAAGTCCTTCTGAGAACTCTGTCTAGTCAGGCTCTATATTGCACGCAGGATATCTGGTTTCTTTTGGGAGTTTATCGGGTTCTGTGAGGAATGCATACGGTAAGAGTGTTATATTATAAGGTTTCGATGACGGTTCAACGAGGATTTTATCTGGGATACACAAAGCTTTTCCTACGGGTCGAGTCGGATTGTCTGAATTGGTATAGACTGCCCCTGAGTCTCCAGAACAATTCATCCAGTTCAGACTCAACGTCTGACTCGTGACCAAAGTATGTTGTTGGCCTGTAGCCTGCGCTGATTTTAGGGTTGTAGGCTTACAGGTATCGACACCCTTAGTCCTGAGTCCCGTGTTCTCGAAAGCATCAGTCGTGTTCCTCCTGATAAGTATGATTGCCCTGAAGAAGTGCTTCAAACGGCATCAGGCAAACCTTAGCACCCCCAAAACCCTGAAGCCCTAAGTTCTTCTTACGATTTCCGTCTATAAATCCTTAGAATTTGATCCCAACTCCCTAAACCCCTAAACCCTAAACCCTATATGCAGCCCCATATCGTTGCGCCAGGACCTCTTTCGTGAAACCTTCGGAGACGAATTCGCCGAAAGGTTGGAGATGCTCGGCGAGGAAGGGGCTGGTGGGATGATCGTAACAGGGCGTACTAGTCTGAAAGCTCTACCTTGTCAGTATTATGACCTTCCATGATTCCAAGCATGACTACTACTACTACTACTACTACTTCTACTACTACTACTACTACTACTACGACTACTACTGCTGCTACTACTACTACTACTACTACTACTACTATTACTATTACTACTACCTACTACTACTACTACTACTACTACTACTACTACTACTACTACTACAACTACTACTACTACTACTACTACTACTACTACCACTACTACTCCTATTACTGATGCTATTACTACTACTACTA